ACACAGACCTTGTCCTGGACCGGTCTCTGTAGTGGACACACAGACCTCGTCCTGGACCGGTCTCTAGTGGACACACAGACCTCATCCTGGTTAAGGTTGAGGACCAGAGTCCTGCTGGTTGGTGGACTAATACATTAGCATGTAAATGTAAAATATAAAGGACCAAGAACTGAACCCTGAGGAACCCCACAACCAATCATCACCACTGCCGTCATGTTATGTTACTCTAGCCATTTGCTACCATGTTAGCCGCGTCTACTTCAGGAGATGCTAACACATCAGGTACTGGTTCCGCTGCCCCTAGTGGGTTAAATAAGGTACTGGGAAGAACCACAACAGTCGCTAACTCGTCAACGGATTCCTGAGAAAGTCAGATTTAGTGTTTAGATGCTGCAGAGGACAGCGCGGCAGTTTAATGTTACAGCTAACAATGCTTGACTAGCATAGCTGCTGTTAGCTTCTTTGATAATTCGTCAACACTAAAGAAACTGTTTTGGCTTTAATAAGATGTTTCCTGACTACAAATCCCATCAGACACGAGAACTACATTCAAACTCATCAAGTAAACTCAGGACCTTCAGTCGCAGAAAAGACCAGAGCTAACAAGCTAACAAGCAACATTAGCCTCTTAGCTAACAGGCTAATGTTAGCTGTGTTACCGTTAAGGCTGTAATGTCGCTCATGTTTTTATCGAAACAATAAATATGTTAAAAACAAAACATTTATGGATCAATTTGTTCTGTTGTACTTTTTGGTCTAGTTGCTGCTGTTCTGTAGTTTTTGAGTTTTCACCTTCACATTATCTGTGAATGTTGTTATAAATGTAATAATTAAGAAGAAAAAATCAAACATTAGCTAACATCAAGCAGTACATTTCATTCGTTTTGACAAAGAGTCTTTTTCTGGCACTAATAATATCAACTAGTTTATGTCAAACTAGCTAACATCAACTTTGCTAGCTAACCAACATTAGCAACAAGGTTCTGAATGTTAGTTAGCTTAAGGCTAATCTTAGCAGCAAGGTTCTGAATGTTAGTTAGCTTAAAGGCCAATCTTAGCAACAAGGTTCTGAATGTTAGTTAGCTTAAAGGCTAATCTTAGCAACAAGGTTCTGAATGCTAGTTAGCTTAAAGGCTAATCTTAGCAACAACGTTCGGAATGTTAGTTAGCTTAAAGGTTAATCTTAGCAACACGTGCCTCAGTTGTAGGTTTTTCAAAGCTTGTTCAAAATGGATGATTTCTGAGTTGTGTTTAATGATTCTATATGAACCTTAAAAACAAAGCATGTACCATGTAGCACCGAGGGCGACTGAAGGTCCTGACCTGGTTTAGATTGTGGACCGTTAGCATGGCTAGCTAGTTAGCGGTAGCCTGCTAACACCTGGAGCAGGTGCTTTTATCTCCACCTTCATCTGACTCAACAACCCTCTCCATCCCTCCATCGCCCCTCCATCGTCCCTCCATCGTCCCGCCTTCCTCTCTCTATCATCCCGCCTTCCTCCCTCCCTCCATCCTCCCTCCTTCACCCCTCCATCGTTCCTCCTTCCTCCCTCCCTCCTTCCTCTCTCCATCGTCCCGCCTTCCTCCCTCCCTCCATCCTCCCTCCTTCACCCCTCCTTCGTCCCTCCCTCCTTCCTCTCTCCATCCTCCCTCATTACTCCTTCCATTGTCCCTCCTTCATCCTCCCTCGTCCCTCCTTCGTCCCTCCTTTGTCCCTCCTTTGTCCTTCCTTCGTCCCTCCTTTACTCCCCATCAGTACTCGGGCAGCGTCTCGTCGTAGTCCATGATGCTGAGTTCGTGCCTCCTCTGGCGGACAGCGAGTGTCAGGTCTCCAGGAGGTGCAGGAGGTCCAGAGGAGGTCCGGCTGTGATCTGAAGCCCAGCTTGGTGGCTCCGTCTGAGGACTCCCTGCAAGGAGGATGTCTGCCTCCTGACCCAGAGGAGGGCTATCTGGCTGGTCCTCCTGCTCCTCTTCCTCCTCCTTTTCCTCCCCCTCCTGCTCCTCCTCCTCCTCCTGGCTGTGATTGGTCGGTCTGAACAGCTGCCGTGCACGCTGCTCCAGGAAGGAGCCGACGGCCAGGGGGGAGTCGATGGGGGAGAGGGAGAGGGGGGAGGATGAGCTGGAGGGGAGGTGCAGGGGGGAGGTGGAGAAGGTCTCCGTAGCTCCGTTTATTATACCAACAGAAGAAGAAGAGAAGGGGCGGGGTTTGTGGCCGGCCTGAGGTGCCGGTAAGGCGACGCTGCCGCCATTTGGCCTGAGGGATGACATTACATGACATCATCACTGACATCATCAACTGTATGTGACGAGCTGCGACATCACTCAGAGTTACCTGCTGTGTGTGTCCAGGTGGATCTGGCTGTACAGGTGAAGCGTCTCCGTCTGAAGTGTTTGGGTGACTCTCCTCAGAGCCTCACAGCGACTCTCACACGCCGACAGCTCGCCTCTGACAAGACAACAAGCTGCTCATTCAGGTGTCTGCTCACCTGAGGACAGGCGAGGACTGTTTGCGTGTGTATGTTGCGTTAAATAACGCTACTTTGAGTTAAATGATGTTATATTAGGTTAAGTTATGTTACGTTAAGTTAAACGTCAACATATCTGAAGAAGCGTCCGTGTCAGTCTGAAAACATCATCGTGATCTTATTAAACTTTATCTTGATGTACTTTTACTCACAGTGATACTTCCTGTTTACATCTCGGTAAACAATTGTTACTTCTCATTCGTTTTATATTCACTACATTCATGTTTATATTAAACTTCAAATTTGTATTATTTTATGTTTGTTCCGATATGATGTTTTTATTTCTGACATATTTAATGAGATAAATGACTTCTCACTGTGAAGTAACCCTTCAGGAGCTTCCTGTTTCCCACTGTACTGACATCACATGAACACATCATTAATAGATCTGACTCCAGGACCCTGACCTGCTCTGGGCCTTGGTGTCGTCCAGGAGTTTCTTCTGATCCAGGATCAGCTGGTCTTTCTTGGCCAGCTGGTTCTCCAGCTCTGCTGTCCTGTGATTGGCTGCTTCCAGCTTCTGTCTCTGCTGGACGTCGCTGTCCTTCAGCCGCTGGTACTCCTTACCCACACTGCACTGCAGCATGGACGCCTCCTGACCGACACACGCACATGGAGACAATAACTGAGAACAACACGGTGGTCCCTGAATGCCACACCAATCACCGGTCAATCACGTTAATCTCTGAACACCCTGTTCTCATTTTAGTCCCTCAACGCCCCACACTCATTTTAGTCCCTGAACACCCCACAGTCATTTTAGTACCTGAAGTGTAAACTTATACTAAACTCTGGTTCAGCTCCAGAACGTTTATTAATGTTCACAGTCTCTGATAATTGTGTGTGTCCTCAAAGTGTGTGTGTTTGTGTGTCCTCACAGTGTGTGTGTGCGTGTGTGTTTGTGTGTCCTCACAGTGTGTGTGTGTGTGTGTCCTCACAGTGTGGTGTGTGTCCTCACAGTGTGTGTGTGTGTGTCCTCACAGTGTGGTGTGTGTGTGTGTCCTCACAGTGTGTGTGTGTGTGTCCTCACAGTGTGGTGGTGTGTGTGTGTCCTCACAGTGTGTGTGTGTTTGTGTGTCCTCACAGTGTGTGTGTGTGTGTGTACTCACAGTGTGTGTGTGTGTGTTTGTGTGTCCTCACGGTGTGTGTCCTCACAGTGTGGTGTGTGTTTGTGTGTCCTCACAGTGTGCTGGTGTGTGTGTGTCCTCACAGTGTGGTGTGTGTTTGTCCTCAGTGTGGTGGTGTGTGTGTGTCCTCACAGTGTGGTGTGTGTTTGTGTGTCCTCACAGTGTGCTGGTGTGTCTCTCCTCCATCCAGCTGTTCACTCATAGCTCTGTTAGTTTCTCTCAGCAGGACGAGCTGCTGGTTCAACAGGAAGATCTGCTGCTGCAGCTGCTCACTGCTGCACAACTGTACACAGTAACACACTGTTACACACAGTTACAGAGTGTAACACGCTGTTAAACACTGCTACACGCTGTTACTCAGAGTAACACGCAGTTACACACAGTTACACGCAGTAACACGCAGTTACACACACTCTCCTCACCTTGAGTGACAGCTGGGTCAGCTGGTGTTCTGCATTGTAAGCCTTGTTACTGGCTTTCTGAAGCTCCGCCTCCAGGTCCCTCAACATGCTCTGACACTCCTGGAGCTCGCTCTGCAACAGCCAATCACAACACTGGATCATCACAACCCTTCATCCTGATGATGTGTGTACCAGTACAGTGTGTATTCGTATGGTACTAGTACCTTGAGTCTCTGCTTGTCTCTCTGCTCGTCCTGTTGTTGCAGCAGCAGCTGTTGGTTGTGTGTGTGCAGCTGCGTGGTGTGTGTGTGTGTGTCGTGCTGTAGCTGTGTGTATCGTCTCTGTTCTTCCTGCAGACTCGACTTCAGAGAACGAATCTCTTCGTCCTGAACGCTCAGCTGACCCTTCTGTAAGATGTCAACATGTAGATATCACGACTCCGTGTTTCATGCTGACGTGCTAACGTGAGAATGCTGTGTGTTTGCGATCAATGTGTTACCATGGCAACGACGTGCTCCTCCAGCGCGGTGGCGTTGATGACTCTACGCAGAAGACGGCGGTTTCTGACGGCGTGTTGCTGACGTTTGAAACGTTCGTACTGCAGCTGACTGTGGACCAACAACAGCTGACTCCTCAGAGACTGAAGCTCCTCCCCCTGGGCGGGGCCTAACACACACACACACACACACACACACACACACACACAGTCCGTGTTACACTTGTTGGGATCAATTATCCGCATTTATGCTCACCTCAAATCTGAAGGTGATGCGTTTAAAGCCTTCAAGATGAATCACGTTAATGAGGTGAATCATGTTAATGAGGTGAATCATGTTAATGAGCTGCATCATGTTAATGAGGTGAATCACGTTGATGAGGTGCATCACGTTGATGAGGTGCATCACGTTAATGAGCTGCACGTTGATGAGGTGAATCACGTTGATGAGGTGAATCACGTTGATGAGGTGAATCACGTTGATGAGGTGCATCACGTTGATGAGGTGCATCACGTTGATGAGGTGCATCACGTTGATGAGGTGAATCACGTTGATGAGGTGAATCACGTTAATGAGGTGAATCACGTTGATGAGGTGAATCAC